TTGTGGTTGAGAATGCAGCCAATGGCAAATAAAGACACACATTTTAGTGTTAGGATGTGTCAGATCTCCTCTTCAGAAAGACCTCGCTTGAGGCCTTGCTCAGTGTTGTATCAGTGCATTGTGGGAATTCAGTCTCTGTCCACATCAGCCTTGCTTTAAGCTGTAATTTACACAATTAACTCTGTGTGCAGAATGTGAGGCAAAAAATGTATTGTTAGCAAAGGCATTATTGAGGACATTGATACACAGATTCACGAACATGAGACTGAAAATATTCCCAGCTGTAGCTCGTAGTAATGTTGGCCTTAGATTAAGTCACAGTGTTTGCAAGAAAACGTTTGAGGCTGCAGCAAATTTCTGCCATTATATAAACTTGTACACAGATATCCATGGCAACAATAATTGTATCATTTGATGAATATGATGCAGAACTGTCACGAACAGTATCAGTTTACTGGTGAACAATTTATAAAAATTAATATTTTTTAAAGGTTTTCCTTTGAAACACATTTTCATGGCCATCATGAAACCTTTTTTTTTCACTGGTCTAAAATTTAAATTTGTCACATGCTGTTATGAAGACATTTTTAATGTAGTAGACCAATGACAACTGCAACATAAGCAGCAGGCGAGCTATAGGATACTATGCAAACCTAAACCAGGGCTCCAGATAATTTTTCAACATCAGGAGTACGTACTCCATATTTTTTCACTACAGGAGTACTGGAAAACCTTAAGAGTACATCTAGAGTACTGAGTGGAATTTAATGGCGTATCAGTAATCTTGTGTTTCGTTTCATATATGCACCACAACATTGATAGTCTAGTGTAAACAGGTCAATAAACAATAAACCAATATTTTTTCAGATAAATACGTCTGTAAATGATTCTAAGACCATACACCATTGCTGTGGTGCATACCTGCTACGTTTTCTAAATTATTTGCTACCGTATCGTGCATATTTTGTATCCGTACATACGCCGATCTACGGCCCTTATCTGGAGCCCTGCTAAACTATTCAGTTACCCATTGATACTGAAATAGAGGGGGAGGGTATCTTCGAGCAAAAACATTCCCTTGTCACACATGAGTACAATGTTTGAAACACTCCCTTGTGTCCTGCCATATTGATGAATATATCTGAAAGCAGCTCTAAAACATTCTGACTCACTAAATGGAGAACATTATCATTGGAATGTTCATATTATACCATACAGATCAAGATTTGCACATAAAAATAAGAACATTTCCATTCCTATAATAAGATGACTATGTAATTGGCAAGAAAATATTGATATATATGTTGACCTCAGGTTTTATTGTTTTTATGAAAAGGAAATTGATGTAAGACATTTAACCTTGGTTTCTTTCTTGGTTTACATATAAGCGGCAGTGGGTATCATGATCCGATTTCTGTATCTTTGACGTTTTTAAAGCATGTCATTTTGATGACATATTCACAAGCAGCATGGAAACAATATCATAGCTTAATGTCATGTTCTGAGTGAACACGGAGCATGTTCGGTTTAAGAAGTGTATGGACACCTTTCTGTCAACATCAAAGGCCTTTATATTGGTTGAAACATAATATTATTGTTTTGTAAATCGACAGTACAGCCATGTAAAGTCAAGTTTCCCAACCAGGAATTCACAGGTGTTGGAGAGACCGCCCCCAGGGCATGTTACAGCTGTGTCTAGATTCTGTTAACTAGCCCCTGCATGGCCTCTGCTCTCTACACCGAAAGGGTGAAAAAGAGAGTAATCTTGCGTAAATTTGTATGATGGCTATTTCTATTTACCTTGGCAGGTTTTATGGTCCATATTCATCCCAGCCCCCCTCTGCCCACTCCCATGTTGCCCCCAACAATTGATTGGACCAAAAATATTTATCCGGCACATGTGCTCCTCAAATATGTCCTGCAAATGTAGGTGTTTGTTTGACAGTTATGACACAGGTCCTGAAGTAGAGACCTCTGAAACACAGAGCCCTGCTACAGAGTTGCTAACACCAGAGCCTTAACAAGACCTGTGGGTATGTACACTTGTTGGCTGAGTTTGGGTTTTTTCTTATTGATACAGGAGCTGATGTAGCATTTGATTGATGTGGATAGACACAGGGAGGTGTTACTGCAAGACTTGGCCTTGTTCTTGTGGGAGACTGTGTATGACATTTCACACCTTAATTGCAGTCCCTATTGAGGGACCTGCACAGTCTCAATATAATATATTTCTGCTTTCACTGAATATGTTTTTGTAGTGTTATGATATAATGTAAAATATAGTGGTCCTGCATGGAATAATCCACAGTGGAATGAATGTTTCTGTTCAAATATGACTTGTAACAGATAGTGTCCAAGGGTTTTGCTTGTCTGGAGAATTGAAGTCAAGCTTACATAACCCAGTTGACGGAGAAGCTATGAGTGCAGCCTTTCCACCAAAGTATTTTTACGTCGGGAAGTCACTTCAATTGTGAACAACTTTAATACAGTGTCAGATAAACAATCATAATAAGTTATCAACTAATCTTTGTCCGAGATTTACACCTCTGTTTAAGAAACATATAAAATATTCCTATGTTTATATTCACAGATGTGCAAGCCATTTTTTTGGTTAAAGGAAATTTGCTTTTAGTTCATGTAAGTGCTCAACATTTTATTTGTGGGGTTAGGGGCGTTTTGCTTCTTAAGACATGTATATGAAAATATGAAAGTGTTGCTTGTGTCAACATGATAATTTGAGATAATACATTTGTACATACCCTGTCATATACCCTATGGCTCTGTACTAGAAGATTGAAAACTCCATAGACTCCATGACATATGCTTACAGAAGATGTCCGATGTTTGTATTTAGGAAAAAGTTGTGGAAAACCGACTTGATTAATGACTGGTAGATAATGAGTTTGTAATTCAAATCTGCTTTTATTGAAATAATTGGACAAACTATATTGTATCTGTCAACAGATACACTTCACTTACGTGGCATTAAGGCTAACAGGTAACTCAATATGTCGTAGTCCTACATGATGACTGCAGGGCTGTCTCTTTAGTTATAATCTTTTTCCAGTTTTCATGATTGAAAGGCGAATGTGTTATGTATAATCAGTGTAATGAACACTTATACTCATCAACTGTGGAAATCTGAAATAGAAGCCACATAAGTGACTGATTCCTCACTTTGGACATATCGTATTCTTCAAGAGCTTAGTATATATAATGCATGTTTTACCGTATTCACTGTATGAAGTACCCTGTTCCATCAGGCCCCTACTGACTGAAGTTAAGAAATATTTGCAACCTCTCAAGTGCATGTGCACCCTACATAGTCTGAAATTGTACGTCCTTATTTTCATTAACATTAATTTCATGTTATATTTTACAAAAGACAACAACAAAGAAGGGTATATCATTTTCCTGCAGCTGTTATCAAATCTTTGTGCTTACTGCAGAATTCCCTTGTACCCCTTTGAAAATCATTGTTGAGAATCAATTGGAACCCAAGTGTCATCACAGCAACAGCAAACGTTGTAAGTACTCGGCTGATGGCATGTCTTTATGATAAAGTTGTCTTTTATAAGTTATTACGATGTTTCTCTGTTCGTCTGATTATTATTGAGAAAACCCTGCATGTTTAAAGCATCTGAAAAACCATGGATAAGTTAATAATGATAAATACTGTTACTTGCAATCTGCACGGAATTTCACTAGTTTACAACGTGATTAACCAGAGCTCAACAGCGGATTTGTTTATGTGCTATTAATAATTTTCGATGACGTGAAGATGTGTGACCGCTGGGCAACTCTTTTTATGGGAGCCACGGATTACCACGTGGTTTAACCGAATCCGCAGTATCGAGAAGAGCGTTATTGCGAGGGATGACTGTATTTTCTTTTGTTTTTAATTTCTGGGACTAAATGTCAGCCTACAGCTTGGTGTTCACGGAGACTTTTGATCACTTGATTTGATTACTCGTTGCAGATGACTAAGATATTACATACTGATGACGAACCAATCACTGTCAGCACACAAAGTGTCTCCCTGTCAGACTGAGTTACTGGACAGAGCAGACATACCATGAGTGAGTGAGTGAGTTAGGTTTTATGCCTCTTTTAGCAATATTCCAGCCACGATGATATCACAGCGTGGGACACCAGAAATGGGCTTCACGTTGTACCCATGTGGGGAATCGAACCTGGATCTTTAGCGTAACAATATTGATAATGAGTCCATTTGTAATGCATTCAGGCCAGAAGGTATGCCCATACCGCTACAGATGTGACTATTTCACTAGTCGTAGTATTTCTTGAAGAGCAGGGTCTTTTAGGTCTGACTTGAAAACTCTTCTGGAAGAGAATTCCAGAGGATTGCATCTTGAGTGGAAAAATTGGAGGCTTTAACCATTAAAGGCTACCCCACCGCCCCTAACATGCCATGTCAATTTAAGTGTATTTATCATAATAACATTATTGAAAGAATCAACAGAATCAATATATGTGATGAAAATATTTGTGTTTGTAAATCAACAGCTGGTCTGTAACTCATTTAGATATTAATGCTATTTGTAAATAAATCCTTGTACATAGGTCCATGGCCTCTTAATGAATAAACATTGATTAACTAATGGTATGAAGCAGGTGCAGTATATGGCAGTGTGGTTCTTAATACAAGCCAGGTACGCTACAGGTTGATGATTTCCTCACAACCCTTGATTACCCGAAACTTGCAGCCCATCCCCTTTGTGAGCCCACCCCCTTTGTGAGCCCATCCCTTTGTGACCCCACCCCTTTGTGACCCCACCCCCTTTGTTAGCCCACCCCCTTTGTGAGGACATGGCATGAATAAGATCATTGAGGCCCCCTGTTCAGTGAGCTGTCCCCTGAATTACATCAGATCTCTAGGGCTTTGTTATGATTGTCATAACTTTCTGCACACTTTGCAAGTGAACAAGAACATGTCCCTGTCTGTGTGCATTGACAAGATCTAATTGATCTAGTTAAACATTGGTTACAGTGAACACGTATCAAGAAGGGGCTTATATAGGCAGTGTTCAATAGTCGTGTCACACTGGCCAGCTTTCAATAGGAGGATATACTGTTTCCTGTTGTGAGCCTTAACAGAATACTTACCTTTACTGAACCATAAAGAGATCGACATGAGATACATCCACTATATGATCCAAGCCACTCTTACACTTCACCATTTACAGAACTACAGACCAGTGGACAACTTGTGGTAAGTTTGTTCTTATCATTACACTGTATTCCATGTTGGCGGAGATTTGTTCTCCTGTGCCAGTCTTTTATTTGATTATTTATTTCACTTTGTCTAACAAGTTAAGGTACTTGTAAACCTATAAGGAGACATGCTAATGTAGCATGTAGAGAGAAATAGCTGTTTACATGTTCGGGACCTCCTGGGCCGTGACTGTTATCTCAGTCAGGATAGAGTCACCAGGTCACTTCCATAGATAGGGACTGGACTCGGTATTCTCAACACCCGTCCAAGTCAGGATAGCAGGCCACTGGATTATGACAATGTGTCCGCTTACCTGAAGAAAAGCTTGTATGCAAGGTAGACAGTAGGACATCCTCCTGCCATTGATGAGGCTGATCTTGTGTAAGGAAGGATAGTCTACAGAAGTTTCCTGAAATTGCTATTCTGTATTCTGGGGAAAAGGTAAGGCATTGTCATGAAAAATCTTGACCTTAATGTCACTGAACTATTCATTGTATGTAAGTAATTATCCCTATATAATCAGCAGAATGTGTGTTGAAGTTCAGTATGTGTACAGTGTGCATTTGTGTACTTCATTCAGTATCTCAGTCACCAGGGGCTGTGTAGCATAGGTTTCCTTGACCTAGTACAACACAGATATTACAGGTGCTTGGGTCACAAAGTTCTTCCTGGTTGGAAGATGTTATATCATTCCCGGGGCATTGTACAACGATGTGGAGATACTTTCTATTGTTGAAGGCTTTGCTTAATTTGGCTAAGTGAGAAGATGTATGGTCTCAAGGAAGGGGAAGAGTCTGTACTGAATGGTACTGTGTATGACTTGTAGTTGTCTGTGACCAGTCATTCAATGAGAGAAATAGAAACTGTAACAAATATCAGGTGGAGCGATTAAAGAGGTAACATGTTTTCAGTGTGGAAGGTACATTAAGAATAGCATGTAGAGGTTCTTGCATACATGGTTCATTCATTCATTCATTCATTCATTCATTCATTCATTCATTCATTCATTCAATTAATCAATCAATCACATTTCCTAATACTAAATCGACATCTCAAGAAGAGGAAGTATGTTGTTCTTTTCCTTCTGTATAGTGAAATACAGCATTAAACTGAAACACACTTTGAACATCCAATTTCATAAACTTTGAAATTTCATTTTCCTTAAGACTACAAAAAGGTGTCTTAAACAACTAGCATTATCAAAAGGCGACAAACGGGATCAGGTGGTCAGGCTAGCTGACTTGGTTGGCACATGTCATCGGTTCCCAATTGCACAGATCGATGCTTATGCTGTTGATCACTGGATTGTCTGGTCCAGACTAGTTTATTCACAGGCCGCCGCCATATAGCTGGAATATTGCTGAGAGTGGCGTAAAACTGAACTCAATCACTTATCAAACAGATGTTGATTGGCAGTGTTACTGTACTTTTGTGTTTACAGAGTGTTTGTAACATAGTGTTCATGAACACATAAAACCTTCATGAATATGTAACAAGTGTACCCGTCTTCATTTTGCAGTGTTACATAGCTAGGGTAGTTGGTGTGATGCCGAATGCTGAATATGTTTGAAATTGACTGGAACCCAAGCAATAAGGATTTCAATCCTTACCAATATTTTATGTATCCAAGTAATTGCAGGAATGATATGAGTTATTAGTGCTTAACCAAAGCTACATTTTCAGAATGTCAGTGGAAGCTTCACTCTGCCATAACCTGACAATGATACTTACTTGGCACTAAATCTAGACTGGGGGCAGTGAGGTGGAGTGGTAATGGCATTCACTCGTGACGCCGAAGACTCATCACACCGGACTCGGGTTCGATTCCCCACATGGGTACAATGTGTGAAGCCCATTTCTGGTGTCTCTGCTGTGATATTGCTGGAATGCTGCTAAAAGAGGCGTTAAACCATACTCACTAAACCAGATAACCCCTATTGTACGAGTGCCGTGGAGCATTCACTGAGAAATCCCTGCCTGCTCATAGACCACAATACTTCCATATACTGGTGGAGAGCATATGGAAGTTAATTAGATCAAGTTAGCCAGCTCAGTTTATGCTTCAGATGCCGGAAGGGATGGATTTTGTTATTTGTGTCTATGTACGAGGAGATCCAGATTTCACTTGTGTGATTCTGTGTCTCCAGAAATATATATGTAGAGTTTGGTTCTTGCTGGAAACTGGCATGAGTTACTTGTGGATTACAAATTACATCAGTTATTCTCGGGTTATTAATCACATCAGTTATTCTTGGGTTATTAATCACATCAGTTATTCCTGGGTTATTAATCACATCAGTTATTCCTGGGTTATTAATAATGTCAGTTATTCCTGGGTTATTAATCACATCAGTTATTCTTGGGTTATTAATCACATCAGTTATTCTTGGGTTATTAATCACATCAGTTATTCTTGGGTTATTAATAATGTCAGTTATTCCTGGGTTATTAATCACATCAGTTATTCCTGGGTTATTAATAATGTCAGTTATTCCCATGTTATTAATCACATCAGTTATTCCTAGGTTATTAATCACATCAGTTACTCCAAGGTTATTAATCTCATCAGTTATTCCTGGCTTATTAATAACATCAGTTATTCCCGGGTTATTAATCATATCAGTTATTCCTGGGTTGTTAATAATGTCAGTTATTCCTGGCTTATTAATTACATCAGGTACTCCCGGGTTATTAACAACATCAGTTATTCCCGGGTTATTAATCATATCAGTTATTCCTGGGTTATTAATAATGTCAGTTATTCCCATGTTATTAATCGCATCAGTTATTCCTGGGTTATTAATCACATCAGTTACTCCAAGGTTATTAATCTCATCAGTTATTCCTGGGTTATTAATAACATCAGTTATTCCCGGGTTATTAATCACATCAGTTATTATTGGTTATTAATCACATCAGTTATTCTTGGTTATTAATCACATCAGTTATTCTTGGTTATTAATCACATCAGTTATTCCCAGGTTATTAATCACATCAGTGTTTCCTGGGTTTGTTATCACAACAGTTATGCATGAGCCTCCAGCAAATGTCGGTCAGATTTCCAATTAAATATCTCTTGAGTTCATATTTTAATGACTGCAGTTTTAGCTTTGCAATAGCAATAGAAAAGAAAGATGCCTGAATGCTTAAATATAGATTTATAAACATATGTAGAACATTGCACTTAAAAATAATCCCATGCATATTCATGATTGATTAAATAAAAACTGTTCCATACAATAGCAATAAATGTTGAAATACACACGTATTTCATTTTTTAAAAAGGACTACTTTTTGCACACTTTATGAAGCATATCAATTGTACTAGGTTTTAAACTGTTAGATTAATCACTGCAATACAAGTTTTTGTGACAAAACTCAAATTATGTTTTCATTGGTACACAGTTCCTATATATATTCTATATTGATCTTCTGTTTTATAAAAAAATAACAAAATAAAGCCTATAGATCTTTTTAAGCTCTGTGTATAACAGAGCTAAAGGACATAACCCTTTCATATAACACATTGAAGTTACATGCATGCCAATCTGTGTCATACACAAGAAGATATTAATGTTGATTGTGTTACTTTCATGTTTATATGAATCCCATGCACACTGCATTATGTCAAAGGAAAGCCATTTTGAATTCTTCCTCGCTTTGATGTCCATATTGAAGTGACAGCGACCAGCATCGCTGTAGATGTAGATGGTGTTGTCCCACTCTGAGACGCAGATGGATGATGATGGCACTGTGAGTGAGGCTGCTGCGTTTAACGCCTCACAAATATATTACCTGTTAGGAGGAATTCTTTGCAAAGGTGGGCTTCGTTCATTTACACAACTTTATTGATTCCTGTATTGATCACTTGTGATGGCTTTTAGGACAATTGAGGTGTGTTGTTAGTGGGCTGCTTATCGTGTTTCTCAATCCATACGCTCACATGCTATAACAATGCAGTGATAGTAGAACAATGGCACCAGAACAATGGAGTTCCAGTGATTAGTCCGGTATATGGTGCGTCCCAGCAAACATAATATCACTAAACACTACACAGATCTTTAACACAACCTCTTGATGTGTTAAGGCCACAGTGAACGTTTTATTGGATTTTGTTGCACATTTATTGAGAGGAGGGATATATTTTATTGGTATGGTTTAAACATAAGACTATCAATATATGCCGTAGAGATCAATAATTGTTACCTATTGATTATCAATAGATATTGGAGAAGTAACTTTGAGTAAAATTGTTAAATAAGTCGGAAAGAAATCAAGACGTTTCACAACAGAGGGGATTGGTGACACATTTGTGCATGGATTGCTAACAAAACCACATTCTGAACATAATTTAGTAGTGGCCTTAAGGTATGTATTTTGTGTGTAAATTATGACTTTATTTCATCCGAATAGTTCATGAAAGATATTCATAATGACACAATTTTCATACTGATGATCATTGATAATTCTTTTTGTAAAGGATATTTCCGATGCTCAATCAGTCAGCTGTAGTCCAAGTCAAGTCATGTCTGTACAGTAGCTGTGATTGTCATGGATTGGTTTGTGTTTGCTGTATTTCAGTTTATTCGTCTGGGGGTGGTGGTGGGGGGTGGTCTTGTGCATAAAGCCCAGAGCCTGGATTTTTTAATCTCTCTTAGCGCTTAGATAGTCGTAAGTTAATGTTAATGTATGGCACTTACGACTATCTTAGCGCTAAGAGAGCTTCGATAATCTAGGCCCTGGTCACGATTCAGTTCAAGTTAAGCAGCGCTGGTGATGGTGTTTGGCATCTTGACCTGCCGAACATGCATTAAGTGTAGCTCTTCATCTGCCAATAAATATGTTTGGACACAACAACGTATGTTATGGATTTACAACTTCTTTAATATTTACAACACTGCAATACAAGTTTTGTAAATATTAAAAAAGTTGTAAATCCATAACATACGTTGTTGTGTTACCTCCCAACAAGCATCTGAATTATGTTTGGACTTTCC